ATGGGGATGGGATGGAAAGGGGATTTTTGCCCATGTGAGGATTTCGTTGCCATCCATAAATAAAATATCAATTACTTTTAAAAGGTATAATAGAAGGTTATTTATAGTTAAGGAGCACAGGTGTTATTCACGTGGTGAAATTTTGTTAGTCCAAATGCCTTTCATATGTGAACCAAACTTTTGGTTAAGGCTTAAGGAGTTAGACCTTTCTAGGTTTTAGAAGCTTAATTTAAGGTGTTTGGTAATTGTCTCAGAACGAGGGAGATGAAAGCATCTGAACCCAATAATTCAGGCACATTTTCCTTCTTTTCCTTCCGGTAATCGACACCATTAAACAACATTCTTTCTACATTCATTTTTTGACAAATGTTCTGAACTTCCGATAAATGTTATTGCCTCGTATCGTCGAAGATCCAGCGGGTATAAAAGGGGAAAGGATGGTAGTTGTGGGAGCCCATCAATTGTGAAGCGACCCAAGAAAAATTTTCGTGAGATCTTTGGGGGAAGATGGGCCTGAGCAAATTTCTCATGGGCTTGATTTGACCCATATTCTCCAAAAGAATCTTGAGGTGTCTTTGATCCAAAGCTTAATTTGGGGTTATGAATTTGGCCCAAATATATCTGTGGAAGGACTAAAGGAAATGCTTGACATTTCTCTATCCTGACCCCCTGAAGCTGATGTTCAAGGCCATGTTGACTTCTCCATGAATTGAACCATAACTTTTGTTTTTTTGTTGGTAAATGCAAATTGAACCATGATTAATTATTAATGGCAAAAAAAAAAACCTAATTATTAAACACCACCTCGAATCGAATTGGGTTTTTAAATCCAATGGTTCGACCCTAAATCTTAAGTGCTTGAATGAGGTGGTTAGAGTTTTGAGTTCTACCACTGTCGTGAACTCCACCAAAAAGCGATCTGATAACCGCGTGCCTCATTTGAGGGGGTAGAATGTTCACCCGATTTGATGATCGAATCGCTAGTTGTTAATAACTAATTCATACTAACTTTTTAATTATTATCATTATAAATATATATATATATATATATATATATATCACCTCAAATCTAAAATCATGTTTACATTATTATACAGTATCGTATTGTATTATATTGTAAAATATAAAAAAAACTACATTATTAGATACCACCTCGAATCCAAAATTATGTTTACATTATCATCTGATATCGTGTTGTTACATTATACCAGAAAGTAACAAAGTGACACTAACTATTAGCAATTAGCGAGAGCAATGGTCAATTAGGAGGATAGCCGTCGGATAGGCGTCGAGGTCTGCGGCAGACACGAAATTTAAACGGAGGAGTGGGAGGACACATTGAGGACAAGGTAATGTTACTGCCGTACTCTGAGTTCACGTGCTATCAAATTGTTATGTACCATAGCTACAAACTCATGTCTTTCATAAATCACACATGCTTTTTCTCTGTTCCCCTGCCGACAACTTGCGTACAGTCGCGCTTTCGATGGGTAGGTTAATTAGGCCAAAACCCCTATTTGCATCCTCCATATATTTTTTTTCTGCAGTCAACACCTTTTAAAATTTTTCCTCCCTATTCACACCCTCCACTTTTCAAAACCCGTGAAAAACCCAATATTTTAACGGGCCATCACGGCACGTTAAAAAATATATTACGTGGCACCCAAAAATTGACGTGGCACTATATAACGTTAGCAAGCCAACGTGGATCTTTTTTTTTTTATGACGTGACTTTTTTTTTACCGACGTAGACGCCACGTATACGGTGAAAATAATAAAAAATTATAATATTACCAAACATTACATAAATGGCATTTTTTCTTTCT